CTTGTTGTACTTCGTTCAGTTACGTATTGCTCTCCTGAATATTTTATAATCCCGTTTTTATTTTATACTCTTTAAATATATATAAATTTTAGATGTATTTTTATTTATTAATTTTTATAATTTTTAATTAATTATATTTATTTATTTATTTATTTTTATTATCTATCTTTTATAAGTGTAAATTAATAATACGATGTACAGGTTAATTGTCTATTATCTGTAATGTACTTGATCATTCTCAGTTTATTTGAAAATATTAAACTGAACTTATGTTGGGCGCCACTTTGTAATAACACAATAAAGGTAAAGCTAACGTATAAAGTATAAAAATATTAAAATGGTGCGATGAAAGTTATAAGTATGATGTGGCCGGACTGACACAAGGGACACAAGCCTTGTATGTAAGTCCGGTATTAATAAATATTGAGTATACTTGTTCTCGTGTTATTACCTTCCTCCCGTTCTTCGGAGGGTTCTCGAGATCGTGATTCAAGAATGTGATCAAATACACCATTACACAAATTAGATAGTAACATAACCTGTACTAACAATTAGTATTTTAGACATGCACCTTACCTGATTCGCCGCAGTGAATACTTATAATACGTTCCTCGGAGAAAGGTATAAGGTGACACAAGTTACGATACGATTTAAGGAAAACTTATGTTTAAATAAGAAAAACAACACTGATTTGAATTAGAAAAAGAAAGAAGTCCAGTTGTCGCTCGCAGTCTTGTGTGTATGTCGTATGGTGGTTTTGGGAAAAAGCTCCTGCTCGCTTGTCTGGTGCGCCCGCACTCGTAATTTTTGTCGGTGCTCATGCACTCGATAGTTTGGCCGGTGCTCATGCACTCGTGACTTGGCTGGTGCTCGTGCACTCGTGGCTTGGCTGGTGCTCGTGCACTGCCGGGAGAAGACCTGGTCGAGCCAGCCAGAGTCGCAGGCCATGCCATCATAAAAAAAGGACTCAGCGTTTTTTAGAAGAAATAGTCTTTCTTCTATACGACAGAGAGCTTCATTGTACCATGGCCCGCCTCCGCTGGCTAACGAAATTGGTTCACACGCTTTTCGAGATATTGTCACAACTCATGTGTCAATTCCTTTGTGATCATATAATATAAGTTGTTTTCTTTCGTCAGTGGCAAAAGGATGTTTGTAGGGTTTAATCTGCGTGCGACAACTTGACCGTTAATTTATTTAATTGAATTTTATGTATATGTAATAAACAATGATATGTGAGCATATCATTACATTATTGTGTAGATGTAGATATTCATAAAAAAAAAAAAACAAATACATTATAAAATTAATGGCCCATCATTCCGCTCAGAATTAATAATAAATTAATCTAATAAATAATAATACTTTAACGTATTGTATGTAATATCGTGAGTTTTAGAATTTCAGATTTTCAATGGAATAATATGTAGCCATGTATTATGTAAAAATAAAGATGTTGGTGATTTATTTTCAGAATTTACAATTATTATTTATTATAGTTAGGGATTCTTCTACAATAGGTTTACGGCTAGTGGCTACACTGATAAACTTTATCATTATTTTAATGATAAGAGATTTAAAAAAATATATAATATGTTTTGAATGTTTTAAAAATGAAGTTAAATATTTTGATGTAGAATTTAGATTACGATTTAATGTAATCTTAGATCATGGTGTAGCTAGTGTATTTTTTTTATTTATGTTTGTAATAATTAGTAATTAACTGCATTGAGAATTTATCGATCTTCATGGTATAATTTTTCAAATATTTGCTAATAGATTTTGAATTATGATAAATTCGATTTGTTATAATCTAATTAATTCAAAATTAAAAAAAAAAATTTAATCTAAAACTAATCGGAAATCAATTAAATTATATAAAAACACACAATTTTAATACTTGAATGACCTTATTTTTTAAAATTTCTTTTAATATCAAATTGAAATTATTATAAATAATGTTGCCTTTGAAACCACCAGTACCTAAAAAAAATGTAAAAAATATTAAACTGATTAACCTTCCAATTTTTAATGAAAACGGAGACATTTTGGATAAAAATTCATGGCCAAAATATCAAGGAATTTTTAATGGGAGAGTTATTATCATCAACAATTTAAACGACAAATCACGTCTTTGTAATTTGGTTTGTAAAATGTTTATATTTAATAATTAAAAATATATTTTTTTATTTAAAATCTCTTTGAGATTACTTGGTTTCAGTAAGACAAACTTGTACAGAGTTAAATGAGTTAATGTATGAATTAATATTTTTTGACATTAGGGTTGTTTTGGACAATTTGGTATAATTGACAAGGACAAATTCATAGACTACAAAACCCTACAAAATCAAGTGCTAAGACAAAAAAAGAATTGGCAAGCAATGGAATTAGTGCCTTTTGATTTTCCTCACAATAACCAAAATGAGGAAGATGAGAAAAATGTACACATCAAATTCCAAAAAACTGATGATGCTAAAAAGCCAACTTATAATAATTGGAAAGATTTAAAATCAAGTCGTTCTACAGAATATGAACAACTGTTAATTTTGTCTGGAGTTCAACATGAATTATCATACTTTTTACTTTTAGAAGAAGCTTTTTTTTTATGTTACACTTTAGAATGTTTGGAAATACGAAATGAAAATGGCTCATTAATGAGTATAGTTGAATGTTGGAAAGAATTTAATGGTTTGAAAAAAAATTTTCCATATTACTATGCAGCTTATCATTATTATAGATCAAAAGGATGGATTGTTAAACCTGGACAACAGTACGGTGGAGATTTTGGTAACATTTACAACATAAATTATAATATATATATTTTTTTTTCATTGGTATATTTTTTTAGTATTGTACAAATCATCACCTATTTACTATCATTCTTCATATGTGGTTGTGATTAGTGCTAATGGTCAAAATAGTGAATTGTTACCATCGTGGCCTTCATGGTATGGATGTGGTCGAGCAATAGAAGCTGCTTGTAAAGATTTGCTTATATGCACAGTTCTTGGTCCTGCGTATGAAAAAGAAATACTAATCGATTTGTCACAGTACACTGTTAATGACATTATAGCAAGACGTTGGGTGCCATCTCAAAACAGAAAAAAACCTTAACGTTGTTAATATGAGTAAAATGTACACAAAAAAATAATATATTGTATGACTAAAAACAAAAATATACAGAATTAATGACTATTTAAAGCTCATTTTTTCTAATCTAAGGTTTTTTTGAAATATTCAACTTTTTATTTTTTGTGTTTCTTCATTTTTTTTAATTCCTGTCAGTCTGTATTGTCTTCGTTCTTGTAAATATTGATCTCGGCATTCTTTTACAAAATCTTCATTTGTAAACCACTTGGCCATGCAATCATTTAATACCTTTATTTCTGATCTACATTTATAGAACATCCAGAATCCAGTATTCAAACAGCAATCTCCAAACACTAAACACGTTTGAAACTATTAATTTTTGCCAATGAATAATAAACCTAGACGTAGTGCAATTACCTTTATTTTCTTCAGAACATTTTTCATATTTTGCTCTTTCTCGGACAATTTTTGGTATTACTACATTTTGTTCAATTTTTCTCAGTGTATAGTTATCAGGATCTCCTGAAATTATTTTCAAAGGTATAATGTTTAAGGAAAAATTCATTAGAAAATGTACTTACCCAACCCGTGTGGTCCTCCTCCATATCGAGATTTACGTTCTTCCTTAATTTCTGCCGATGCAAACATTACAGCATATAATAGTATTATTCTGGTGATTAAAAATGTATTTTTAAATAATATAATATTTTAAATTTATAACATTATGGGTATTTCAAATTATTAATTTCTAGTTTACACTTTCTAGTTAGTTCTTTCAAAATAATAAATATTCAAAATTTTTGAATTGACTCTAAAAGTCTGAAACTTTGATAAAAAAATTTTGATATCTTTATCAATTGTATTATCAATCATTTTGATTTTAGTATTTTATACTTTTTATTAACCGTGGTCTAACCTCAATTTCAGAGCTACCATATTGTTTTAGGTTATGTGATTAGTTTGTTGTCAAACTTAAATTCGCTTAATCATTTTTCGAATACATATTATACACTAGTCATCACTAACTTTACATACTATCCTATATCCTGTAAGTACTAAGTATCTTCAAAGTAGTGAATGTCTAGCTACAAATAACAGTACGGTTGTTGATGATTTTACATTAGTTTGTAAATTTTTAATTTGTAATAATCACCTATAATACAGGTATGTCATATATCATTCAGTTTGTTAATTGTTTAAAAATGTATGTACAATAAATCTTTGTTTTTAATTCACTCGATTTTGTTTTGCAAATAGTTCAAGTCATGGATCGTCTATTGAGGTTGGGTGGTGGTATTCCTTTGGGACAAGGGTCGGCGCCTGCTGCTGATACTCCTGTTGTAGATACTGCTGAACAAGTTTATGTATCTTCGTTGGCCTTGTTAAAAATGTTAAAACATGGTCGTGCTGGAGTTCCTATGGAAGTTATGGGCTTGATGCTTGGTGAATTTGTGGACGATTACACCGTACGCGTTATTGATGTATTTGCAATGCCCCAAACTGGAACTGTAAGAATGTGTATTATTGATTTATTGATTTTTTTTTTTTTTTACTTGATGTTTATTAATCGTTTTAGGGTGTAAGTGTTGAAGCTGTAGATCCAGTATTTCAAGCAAAGATGTTGGACATGTTGAAACAAACTGGCAGGCCGGAAATGGTTGTTGGATGGTATCATTCACATCCAGGGTTTGGTTGCTGGTTGTCTGGTGTAGATATTAATACACAACAAAGTTTTGAAGCTCTCTCTGAAAGAGCAGTGGCTGTTGTAGTTGACCCCATTCAAAGTGTCAAAGGTAAAGTTTTGTATAATTTATTTTGCTTTTATGTTTATAAATATAAATATAGATTAAAAATTGTATTTATTAGGCTCAGTTAAGTAATTTAATATAGTTCAGGTGCTGCAATTTTTTTAATTGTCATTTTATCTTTAATACTTTAAAATGTTCTTTATGAAATGACAAACGACTTTCAATTACTTTGATCAACTTACAATTAAAGTTTTAAAGAAACAAAAAATTGATTATTGTTTAAGGTAAAAGTCAACGAACAATTATTGCCTAGTCAAAATTGTTTTTAATCAGATTATTAATCCTTCTAAAAAATTTCATTTTGAATTAAATAAATATTTAATATCTTAAAATATGCTTAAAAAAATGTAAATGAAAAAGTAATTCTAACTTTAAACGATTAGTATATATTTTTTGTTATATGTTTTTATTGATTCTAATAGTTATAATTCAATACAAGTTATCATTTGTTTGAATTCAACTGATTTATTTATTAAAAATAATAACAAATGTCTACTAATCATTGGTGTTCAAACTTCTTTTCATAACAATGTTTAGGTAGCTCTCAAATTATTAAGGACATAACATGTTAATATTTAATTGTTTTTTTTATTTATACTTTAATTTTATAAAACTATCAAACAAAGAATATAATAATTATGCATAGACAACCAAAATTAAATGTCCATTGTTTAGAACTAAATAAGAAATACGTTTTGGTAACATATTTCTCATAACACACTATTTCCATTATCATTGAACAATATTTTTCTTTTATATAGCGGCTTTAAGGTGATCTTTAGATGCCTATGAGTTATGATGTTCTAAGTATATCAAAATAACATACCAATGTAATATGCTTAAATAAATTAATAGTTAGTACTTATAATATTTTATTCTCTTATTTTCCATTTTGTATACATTTATATTTGTATATTCCTTAAACATAATGTTATAGATTTTTAAATCAATTGTATATATTTTTATTGCAATAGAATCTGAGCTTCATCAATAATTATGGATTATTAAATCATGTTTAATGGCTCTTTAGCAAACTATTGATTCATTTAATGTTTACTGAACTAACATGATACACGATTCATTGTAAAAATAGATCTGATTATCATATTACGTCTAACCTTAATTTAAAAAAAATTTTAAGTATTAATATTTTACATACTTTTACTTAAAAATTAAAATATTGTAAAAATACAACAAAAGAGTATAGGAAATTGATTTACCTTTAAGTTTCATAATAGGTTAATTTACTTTAATATTAATGCCAACAACATAAAAAGAATTGCTAGATATGTATTTTGGTATGTTGTGTGTTAATAAAATGTAAACAACAAATATGAATTCAAATTAAAAACAAAGAAATTAAATTACTGTTAAAAAAAAATTTCTTTGTTATTCTCTTATACTTAATAAAGCATGTATGTTCTTTTCAATTATTGGTAATGTTATTTTTTACTATATTTAATTTAATTATTTGATATTTAGGAAAGGTAGTTATTGATGCCTTCCGTTTAATTAACCCCAACATGATGGTACTTGGTCAAGAGCCAAGACAAACTACTAGCAACTTAGGACATTTACAAAAACCTTCAGTTCAAGTTAGTAAAATATTAATATTTATTATTTTTATATTAATTGTTGAGAAATTTAAAAATAGCATATGATTATAAAATACTATAAGTGAGTTGTAACATCTTATTGTCCATTTTAGGCTCTAATTCATGGTCTTAATCGTCATTACTATTCCATTTCAATAAATTACCGGAAAAATGAACTTGAACAAAAAATGTTACTGAATCTACATAAAAAATCATGGATGGATGGAATGGCACTTGAGGATTATGAAAAGCACTGTGATACCAACCGAACAACAGTTAAAGAAATGCTAGAATTAGCTAAGAGTTATAATAAAGTAAGTATCTATTTTCTGGTAAAAGAAGTTGAGTTTATTTACTAATAATTAAATGTATTGCATTTAATTGTTATTAGGCTTTGGAAGATGAGGATAAAATGACACCAGAACAATTAGCCATCAAAAATGTAGGCAAACAAGACCCTAAGAGGCATTTGGAAGAAAAAGTTGATAACTTAATGTCTGGAAACATTGTTCAGTGTTTGGGTTCTATGTTGGATACTGTAGTATTTAAATAATACTCATGAAATATGAAATCAAGGAAAAAAATATGAAGATAAATAAATAATTTTAAATTGTATATCACAATTTAATGATTAATATTTGTTTCCTGCTTCAATATTTTTATAAATATTACTCATAAATCATAACTTTATTTTCTCTCTTTTTTTTTTTTTACTATAAATAAATCTTGATTAATAAAGATTTCTATTAATATAATTTAAGCTAAGATAATTGTTTATATTAATCACATTAATAGGGTTTAACTTGAAATAAATTTATATTTTTAAGTTTATTTTAAGGTATTAAAGTAAAAAGAAATAATGAGTGTAATAAATAATAATATTTAAGAATCTACTCACTATTCAAATGTTTTCTTAAAAAATAATTTTAATTACATCTTAAGAATTCTCCTCACAATAATTATTTTATGTAATTTATAAAATCAGTGGTGGTTTATGGATTGAAAAAAAGATTATTCTGATTAAATATTTAAAAGTAATTGGTCAATAACAAATTGCTGTATGCCAGCTTTATAAACCTAAATAGGTGACCATCGTCCATAAATGTACATTGCGAAATAGTTATAAATATGAGAATTTATAAACGTGTAATGCATGTATAAATAAATGTGTATTAGTTTTTATATTCTGAATTGTAGTTAACAAACAGTACAGTTAAATGTGCTTTTTTGTTTCTCAGATTCATATGATTATATTCTTTTTGATTGGTTGTATGAAAATATTCAATGTTTTTTTTAAAACATTATATTTAATATATATAACTGATATTATTATTTTTATATTTTATTTTTTTTTTCTATTAAATATTTTAGGTAGTGCTTTTCATTCTTGTTCAGTTGTCTCTATTTGAAATGTACAATTAGACCTTTATATCTATTGAGAGTAAATATATATGATATTGGTTTCTATATAAAGAATACTAATGATGAATAGATAGGTATTAAAATAATTAAGTTATTAAATTCTCAAATTGATGTTGTAATCTTCATAAAAATCTTACTTAAAATTTCTATTGGAAACTGACTTATGAATAAAACTCCACTGAGTATTTGTAATTGAATTATTAGTGGTAAAATATTTATGCATAAAAATATTTTTTCTGTAATAATGACAATTATGACTGTTTTTTCTTTTATGATACAATTTTAATTTATACATGTACATATCCTCTATAGCTTTTAATATCATTTGCTTCGTAAGGGATGCTATAGTGATATAAAACAAAGTATTGAAGTTTAATAAAGAAAATTTATTGTTATTTGATAAATACCTAAAGCAGTTAAACTAATTATAAACTAACACAAATTAATTAATTAGTTTTTAGTCATTAATTTTAATTAGTTTATGTAAACTGATCTTTTTATGATTTTGAAGTAACAAACATTACAATAACAATATTAAAAAAATAAATATATATCCATGTATTTTAGGTATTGTAAATTTTAATAAACTTGTGGTGTATGTATAATTCAATACCATACACTCTTAATGAATGTATTTTTCAAGGACTAATTTTATGTGTAACACCACTAATACACCATACTCTATATGTTTGTGTATATCATGCACTTTATTCTTGTAATATTAAATTATGAAGTCTGTAATATTCAATTTTGACAGTATACTCATTTTTATTAATTACAATTCGAATATTATTTTTATTCAATTAACATAAACGATATTTAATGAATGAGATCCTTTGATATTTTTTGATGGCTATGACAATGATTTTTTAGTTAAGGCTAATGGTTGAGACGGTTAATGAGATATGATCTATCTGTAAGTTTAAAGTTTAAACCATAAGTAATATTGTAACAAATAATCATTCTTAACCGAAATTTTGATATTTTAAGGACCAATA